TGATCATGATAGGCTCATATGCTGTGATCAGAACATCTGTATTTACTTCCTTGAGGCGCACATTTGCCAAATAAACCTGGATGCCAAATATTTAGATCTCGTTTTTCAAGTTCCGACATTGCACCAAAGGGTGTTGTTCATTGGTTCAGTTTTAGAACTGTTTGGGTTTGTATGATGTAATACTGAAAACCAAACGAAAGGGCTTGTCGGGTTTTGTTCAGTTATTTGCAATTGGGTTTGGTTGGTTTCTAATGCATAAAATTTGAAAAGTAAACTGAACCGCCTGTTGTTAGATCGGCTTTTGTCAGCTTTGGTTTTAATAAATTTGGCTACGGTCAGTTTCACCTTGTTGGTTCTTTTTGTTTTTTGTTCCACCCTAATTGTGGGGGCGTTAAATTCAGAAACTGACCTTGACCAAATTTTGTGCTTCCCTTCCTTGCCTTCCCTTGGATATGCCCTGAAAATGAGTACTTGGAAGTAAGAAGTACTGAACATATATAAGTAAATAACAATTGCAAACAGACTAGGCAATGAGATGCAATTATTCAAAATGCCTCCTCAATAGACCCGTTACCAGATTTTATTCCATGGTAACAAATCTTTGTCTATTGACACAGAAACGTATTCAATTAAGGACCAGTCTTTATGCATAAGTTCAAAGTAGAAATCACCACACGTATAAAATTTCAAGCATGGCATTTTACATGTACCATGACATGTTGCTATAAAGTGATGAGTGATCAAGTAGGTCAAGAGGCTAAGAGCTCGTTCTCTTCAACTTATTCTTATTTCTTATTACTTATTCTTATTAAGAATAAGATCACCAGATGAGATCATTAGACTAGATCAGAAATAGTTTAAAATATCACTACAAAAAAATTAGGTCAGATCCAATCAGACTAGACAAAGAGAACAAGCTCTAATAGCCATGTGGACTTCAATTCGAATCGGCCGCCTGCAATCAAACCCCGCAAATGACACGAATTCCCAGCAAACCTCTCATTAAGTCCTTCATTGTTAGATGTTATTTCAACCACCTTACTTCCAGCCGCGGTGTAACCAAACAAAACCAAACATACACAATATGCCTCACTCAGAAAGTAGGGTAAGTAGGACACATATACTGCATCTACTCCTTGCGAACAGAAAACTGTCTTTGAAAAAACCCCAACAAGTGACGAGTTATGCAAAGGCACAGATGTAAGCAAAAAACGCAACAAAAAGGGGGGTAACAAAGAAAGCAGGCAAACAACAAAAAGACTAAAAGGTAAGGGAAGAATACAACAAAGACAACAACAACACCATTACCCCAGTGCCTCAACGGCTCCCGCTCATTGCGGGGTAAGGGGGGTCGGATGTACGCAGCCTCAACCTATGTTTAAAACATAGAGCGGTTGTTTCCAGATGACCCATGATGAGCGTCAAAAGTTGCATTGACCAACTGCTACTTCACAATTGCAAAGAACACAAAGAAAAAACTAATGCCCAGCCAACAACCAAACAACAAACAGCTCAACCTCAATAGCACTTGCTCACAAATTCGAAAAGGAATCTACAACTCTAATAAAACGTCTCCAGTTACTCCTACGAAAGGTCATGTTTACTATGACAGACTTATTGAATATGTATCACAATTTAACTCTTCCACCAACATTTAGAGGCAAGGACAAGTGGGGGCCTCGGGTTTGTGGAGCAAACATTTTTGCTTTGAAATTCAATCACGAGAAACGTGGTATCGGTCACCATTACAATAAAAATATGAAGACGAAGAAGGAAAACAGTTGATCAAAATTGCCAACATTTCAATTTTCATTTGGGCGTGAAATGACTGAAATGCTTTTCAAGAGAACATGAACTGGGATATACCAGCACAATTTGAGATCACTGTCATATTGATTGTTATGAAAAATCAGATCAAAGAAGATTGATGAAGTCCAACTACAAGTTCATCACTTCAAAAAATTGAGCACGTGGTTGCAGATGGAAGAAAGGCACATACACCTATGCAAGATATATCCGAAATAAGATAATCTAATGTGAGGCATCGATATAATCACCAGCATCGATTCTTATTAATGACACGTGAATCAGTGAAGATGAATTGACTAAAAAGAATAAAACACTTTTTGGATCATTCACATCCATTGGACCATGTGCAGTTAATAAAACGTTATTACCACCACATCGATTAGTGTATATGGCTGGTTGATCCACCAACAATGCTGAGAAATGAGGGCTACATAGTTCATTTGGCATCAACAAAATAAGTAAATGATTAAAAAAATGAGGCACGTGAAGAATTGGAACATGGGAAGTAAGGACTGCATACCATTTGCCCAACAGCAGTAGAAATGATAGCAGGCAAGGTCCTGAAGCGCAGTCCAGGAACCTCAAACACTTCTGACTTCTCAATTAACTGCACGTGCACATTAAAGAAGGTATGAGACTCATGGCTTCTCGCAATAAAACAGTATATTATTAACAAATTAATTTTAGAATGGAAACAGTACACAAGTCACACAAAAGCAAAATGAAAAACCTTTGAAATTCATTAAATTAGATTATACTCCGTATTAATTAGGTTTTGTTTATATAAAGATTTAGAAAGAGGTAAACTATTACAAGATGCTAAGCAATATAATAGTAGTAGCTTGTCACACTAAGAATATACTAGTATTTCATCAATGGACTCCAATACTCCACAACCATTTATGGAGTATTTAAGATAGTCAAGTTCATGGAAATCAACTTCATACAAATTCTAAAACTGATTTTTGAGAAATAAGCCCTCAACCCTCGGTTAGTAGATTATCACACTAAGAATATACTAGTATTTCATCAATGGACTCCAATACTCCACAACCATTTATGGAGTACTTAAGATAGTCAAGTTCATGGAAATCAACTTCATACAAATTCTAAAACTGATTTTTGAGAAATAAGCCCTCAGCCCTTGAACCCCCAGAGGTGGCTTTTCATAAATTTTTTAAAATTTCATTTTTGCATTTTAAGTTGACTAGAAAAAATACTCCCATTACTCCCTCCAAATTTAGTCGTCTGTTTTTCAAAGTAACTCAAATTTAAAGAATGAGGTAAAATAACAAAGGAAAAACCATGAAATTAACTGGTCCTTCATGGATTGCAACTCCACTAACATGCTCTTTAGGATGTCTTTTTTTTATATAAAACAACATTTTGTTACTAAAGCATTAAATGGAAAATTGGTTCCGGAAATCCCCAAAAAGAAAAGTCGTTAACTAAATCGAGACGGCAGGAATACATTACAAAAATTAAAAATATAAAACTTCTTGTCTCCTGCTTCTCGCTGGGAACTAATAGGAGTATTTTCAACCCCAGCTGGAAGTACTTGTGACTCTTTTAAAGTCATTTTGAACAAATTAGGCACTTGCTATTGTCTTTAGGTGTTTAAATAATCAAATATCACACCTCCAAAAGCCAAAAGTGATGGCACCTTTCAAAGAGTTTTTTTTCTTATTATGGAGGTGCCTTGAGGCGAGAGGAGTTCCCATCGTGTACACTCGCGCGATCAAGGATATGTACGAGGGGGCTATGACCAAGGTAAGGACTTCCGGGGGCAACTCAGATTCCTTCTCGGTAGGAATGGGGTTGCACCAGGGGTCTGCCCTTAGCCCTTTTTTGTTCGCCTTGGTGATGGACGTCCTAACTCAAGGTGTTCAAGACGGGGTCCCATGGTGCATGCTTTTCACGGATGATATTGTGCTTATCGACGACACACGTGAGGGGCTAAACAATAAGTTGGAATTATGGCGCCTTGCCCTTGAGACTAAAGGATTTAGAATAAGTAGGAACAAGACTGAATACATGGAGTGTCGTTTCAGCGGCCGGGATACAGAGTCAGAGGTGGAAGTCAGGATTGACTCTCACCTAGTACCTAAGGTAGACAAGTTTCGATATCTTGGCTCGGTAATACAGGCTGATGGGGAGTTAGATGCAGATGTTGGGCATCGCATTGGAGTGGCTTGGGCCAAATGGCGATTAGCTTCAGGAGTGTTGTATGATCCGAAGATTTCGCCTAGAATGAAAGGTAAGTTCTATCGATCCGTAGTCAGACCTGCTATGTTATATGGGGCAGAGTGTTGGGCGGTTAAGAAGACTCATGTGCGTCGTCTGCATGCGGCGGAGATGCGGATGTTACGTTGGATGTGTGGGAAGACAAGGTTGGATAGGATTTCGAACGAAGTTATCCGACGTCAGGTAGGCATGGCACCGGTGGAAGATAAGTTGCGGGAAGCGAGGTTGAGATGGTTTGGCCATGTGAGACGGCGGGATGCTGACGCCCCTGTACGGAGATGCG